CAGAGAACGATGACGGGAGATTGGATGTTCTCCGCAAGCTGGCATGCTGACATTGAGGCCAGCCTGCAGCAGGACACTTGTGGTCCTGATCGAGACTCCGAGGACGAAACAGTGAGGGAGGACTCTGGAAGTGTCTGGCAGTGTCCCCTTTGTGTGCAACAATTCACGACCATGGCTGCCCTCAAGATCCATGCTCAACGAAGTCACGACAAGCGGGACACTGCAGAGCAAGACTTTGATAAGGCTGCACATGCTCTGCACGGACTGCCGATTTGTCGGTTTTGTCATAAGTCTTTCTCTAGGTGGCAAACCCTTGCCCATCATATCAAATCTGATTCGTGTCCTGTGAAACGTGCTGAACACACAAAGGCTACAACACCACAGCTCGACACAGAGTCCGCTACCAATGCGCTGCCAGTGGTGCTGGCAAAAGAAAACCCGGAGGAAAAGGCACAGCCGAATACTGATACTAGTATGGTGCTTGCTGAAAGACAAGATGTGATTCAAACAGCTTTGAAAGGGCTCCGCTTCTTCATACAGATTCCATCCCTGACGCGGCAGTTTCGGCAAACTTGTGCGATTTGTGGTCAGTGGGTAGCCTCACATCGTACCATGAAGCTTCACTTTCAGCAATCTCACAATGCACTTTTTCAACGACATTGCAAGCCAGCTCAGAGTATTATTACACAGTGCGCAACACCCTCCATTCAGTGTCACTATTGCGGTGGGCACTTCAAGGACTGGAGAGGACATGTAAACAAGTGTACTGTTATTTGGCAGGCGGCATTGCTTTGCAGTTTGAACAGGAATGGACATGGCGTTTGCAGCGGACGAGGAGATGGACACGTTCTTCGGGACAGTGTCAACCAAGAGCTCCGAGCGAGCCAGCAACTCCTCGGACACACCACAGGGGAAGCGTCGTCGAGAGTTTGTACGGATGGGTCCAAGGGGCGATGGGGGGTCGGGCTGGAACTGGCAAGGGGACACGGGCCGGGACAACGGTCCATTGGTTCCTACTTTGGCACGGCTGGCCATCAAGTTGGACGAGGAGATCAGGGTCCTGAAGCAGAACACCGGGATAGTCCTGTGGATGAAACCCGGGGCGGACTCAGTGTTGCCTCACCTGTACAACACAGCGGTGGAGTTCAAGAAACAACAAAAAGACAATCCCAAGTTCAGCTTAGCACATGTTCCTCTCCGCTCCGTGCTTGCTTTGGCGATGTTCCGGGAGCTGGGCAACAGGCTAGACCGATTGCTGAAAACCCCGGACCTGATGAAAGCTGCGGAAACTCGAGGGTGGCGAGATCAATCAGGATGGAAATACCAGGTGTGGAACGGCGCCCTTCGCCACCTCGAGGTGGATCGCGAAAAGCCAACGGTGTCGGATGCACAGATGCAACTTGTGA